GGGGAACGCAGCACGCAATGTCAACTCCCAAATCTCCGCGCCATTATCACAGTGCACCCGAAAAGTCAGCTAGAGACGCTGTTAAAAAAAAAAGAAAATTAAAAAGGAAAGAACGTTTTTTAAAAAGCATTGAGAGACGGAACTTCATGATCGGGTTTTGTTTTTATATAAGCGTTTTTACGCCCCTATTAACACACTTTAGATCGTTCAAGAGGCAAGCCTCAGACTCTGCCTACTATCAGGGCTCAGAGGGATACAAAATCTCAGAAGAAACACCTTTTAGTTTAGTTTAGTTTTAGTAGAGGGTTTTACGGCGCTCAAAACAGCATAAGGCCATATTACCGCCAAGAAGAAACACCGAGATAATTTTCTTATTCGATCAACGTTCTCCCCACTCGGAAATCGAACTCTGACCTCCTGCGTGCCAAAGCAACGAGGACAAAATGTGAAGCGGGCAGACAAAATGACTTACTTCTCGGATCCAAGCCTAATGGAAATAGATACATCACGCTATTAGGTGAAGTTTTTACAATTTATAAATATGGAATAATAAAAGGTACGTTAAACAAAAAGAATGTGGCATCAATAGAAAATCTACTAATCTGACCCTATAGTGTGGACTTTTGGCCAATATTTCCGTCTGTGGATTGCGAGAGGTAACTCATTTTGTCAGCACGCTTCACAAATAGTATTGAGTTTGTAGAAGAGACTTTAGTGGGGGGAGAGCGGGCACGACATAAAACAACGCACAATAAATATGAACGCTCTTCGACGTTAAATTGTTTCTACTCAAATGACATTAACAACATCGTCGCCTTCCCCAGTCAGCGCAGCGCCAGGGGTGTTTTAGCTCACCACCTCTGCTGTCTCAAGACTCCAGACTAGTGCTGGCCGGCTAGGTTCCCGATTATTGAAAGCTATAAATCGTAGGAATCGACTCCGAACCCAATTACTTACTTTCTAATGGTGTGATTTTTTCCAGTGGTTACCTGGTTGGCTTCGAACCTCTTCAGATTTAGGATAACTTTTGATTTCGGAACACTACTAAGCATCAACTTTTATTTTTCGAAAATAAGTTCTAAAAAAAAAAAGAAGATTTTTAAAGATTAAAGTAACTGGGAACTGTTGGTTTACGTAAAAAAGAGTCGGAATTTTTCTTTCGTAACATTAATCGTGTGGATCGGTTCCGGAATCGATTCTTCGCCCAGCTCTACTCAAGACGGCCACTCACCAGGTCTGGGGTCACGGGGACGATAGAGTGCATTTTACACAACCTCGCGGCAGATGTCAAGAAAAAAAAGAACGACAAAATGGCAGCAGAAATTCGAGCCCCTCCCTGAGCAGTACTTAAAAGTGCGAGCATTTCTGGTAGAGGAGGAGGAGAGAGAGAGGAGGGGGGTGAGAGAGGGGAGGGGGAGGGAGAAGAGAGAGAGGGGGTGAGAGAGGGGAGGGGAAAGGAGAAGAGGGAGAGGGGGGGGAGGTGTGATTGTCATTTTCCATCGTCACTCACGTACAAGACCTCAAGGGGGAATTATTAGGCAGGGGGCTGGGAAAACAACCGTTTCCCGGAGAACCGGAGATTTTGGTTCCCATTGAAATGTGGGGATGGTTGGTTGAAATCAAGTCAAGGTTTTGTCGGAAATTAAAGTCTTCAAATCAGCGCATAGTTTGACATTTTTTATATCCCTTCGGTATTACTATTCTCATAATAATAATAATAATAATAATA